CATTAGTAATGCTGAGAAAAAAAAGAGTAATATGAAGGAGAGTGGACAGTGATTGGCGTTGCATTTAAATGTTTTGCAGATTAAATTTGACTGGAAAGCCTGAAGCTGAAAGGAAGTTCCACAAACGATAAGTGCGAGAAAAATAAACTCTTACTATAGAACTTACGGCTACATCAAGTCAGCTCAACTTTAAATTGATCAGTTCTTGACGTTATTCTAGTAGTGCGTTTAAATTCATAACATCTACGTATCATAGCGAAGAGCTCATCCGAAGAATTACCATGAAAATTTTTATAAAAAAGGCAGAGAAAAGCAACCTTACGGTGTTAGGTAAGTGACTGAAGCCGAGTCGCCGGATCAGGACCAATATTATTGCTTTTTTGAATTTTATCCAGGAGCTCAAAGTAAATAACAGGAGCACTGGACCATATATGGCAGCAATATTCCATGCATGGACGAATGGTAGACTTACAGATATGTAAAATAGATTCCGGAAAGAAAAACTGCCTCGCACGACAGAGTGATCCGGTTTTCTTAGCAGCTGACCTGGCGATAGATTATTTTTAGAAACAGGTCGAAGCTAGAATTTTTCTCAGTGGCATCTCATAATGTACATGTATTTCTAATTATTATGGTATATTGAAAATCAGAATATCGGTGAGTTACATTCTTCAAGAATGCATATATGCATTACTGAGAGAATAGGTCTATTATAGGGACACCACCCAGAAACCAATATGAAAATTCAGGGTCATGGAATGGTCATGGTAAATACTAAACACTTCAAATACTTCGGCGTATTTATCAGTTATAACAAATTTAGTATAGAAGAAAAAGAAATTTATCAAAGCTTAGGTAGTTTCGACCAAAACTGCAAATTACTACAAAACTAAATTATTTATCAGAAAAGTCGAGTCCTGTTCTTAATCTCGTTGGATTGAGTCTTTCATATGAATATCGTACCAAACCCGTTCAGAAATATCTAAACTGTCTTCTGTATACAACTGCATTCTAAGACGAATGGTTAAACATTGTTTTGACTGAATGAAGCCCGGGTTTTTTCGCAAAGATCTTCCTACTTTGAACATTGTGGAACATTACCGACTGTAACAAATAATAGAAACCATATCACTTGAGGACTTCCAATAGCAGCAACAACTAAAATAGATAGCACATATAACAGGAAGAGAAAATAATGACACAATCAAGATGTTGACATTCCACACTACTTCAAATAAAAGGGTTAGGAAGGAAATCATCATCAGTACTGGAAAAAGCCATAAAATCACTTAAGAAACCTTTCCCTTGCCAAATTGTTTTAAGAGAAAGGTTTTATAAATTACTATTGACAACAGTATTGACTGCTTTGGTCAACGAATACCTTGTAGGGAAATGGCTTACATTACCATTACAGGGATAATTAGATTAGGATGTAAATTGAAAATCAGACAGGAGAGAATTGACAGTGCTCAGGAATTAGTATTATATTGTTTATAGGACTGTTGTATCAATAATATGTGTTTGAAGACAGAAATGAATATATGTGAATTTTATTTATTGAATACATTTGAAAAGTGGATATAGGAGGAATGCTTCGAAAATAATGCCTATTGTCTATCTTTCAGTCAGTTATATGCCATGCGTGATACACGAGACAGATATTTTTCCAGCAGTGGGTTGCCATTTCATTCTGCGGTAGATCAGTTGCCATGCAAGGCTATAGAACGCGGTCTGTTCTGCTATTTACCCATAGCTGGAGGGAGAAAAATAGGATTCATACCTTTCGCAAGGCTATTAGTACGTAAGTGAATGTAAAGTATTCGACTGGAAATCGAACTCTGTTCTCCGATTCCTCAATCCGAGCCCTTATCCATTACTCCACTGTGCCCCACAAAAATTGGCTTTCTCGAGACGGATTCGAGCCATCGCCATAAGGATGACAGCTTTCTTTTACAGTCGTCTCGAGCCTTCATTTCTACAGAAATAATAATAGATACAAAGAGCAAAGTTATACTGTTGGATAGAGCAAGTTTTCAGTTTCAATATATACACTTTTCCCACATTGTGATCTAGATTGGCTATGTTTTTTTTTTTTTGCTAGTGATGAACAAGAACCTGTATTCCAGCAAGGACAACAAATAGTAAGATGTATCATTGATTCATAATAAAACAAGGGGTGCTCCGGAAGTAATGCCTCCCAGCTACTTTCACTGAACTATCAGTAGATGCAGGGGACGCAATAACCTTGATGTATAGAAAAGTTTTCATCTGCAAAAGACTATTTCTTCAAATAATCACCGTAGTTGTTTATATTTCTTTCCTGTTGAAGAACATGCCCCCACAAATAAGCCATATTATATTCTAAGATATATTATTGATATATAAAAATGCCTCATATTTTATTTTGACAGAAACTTCAAAAGATCCATGAAGCTCTTCTTGAAAATGTATTCTGCCTAAGGTTCATCTTTTATCATGGGCATCGAATCTGAGTGGTGGAATTTTATAATTACATGCCGCCATATTGCTGGTAATGTCCAATTTAAAATCTAACGGAAACGAAAACGTGTCCGATAAATCGAAAAAAGGACCCTTTGAAATTTATAACTATTACTATTCTTTTTAATACCATTTGAAACCGCCATCCTCAAGTATTGCCTCAGGTGGTCAGGACATATGACCAGAATGACCTCTTCAAGAATCCAGCGGAACATACTTTACAGCGAACTCATCAACATCAAACGACATCGCGGGGCCCCAACTTCAAGCTGGAATCAGCCCTAAGACCTAGAAAAAAGAAGCCGCCGACTGACCGACCATCCATCTTGGCGAAGAGCAATTTATTTTCATTTTTGAGGAGAGGAGAAGAAGGCTGGAGAGGAAATAAACAGAAGACAACGCATGTACCACCGGCAGCTCCTGCCAAGACCATCAACCACTCTACCATGTAGTGAATACCAGAGACTGTTTTATTCCCGATTTGGCCTCCTGAGCCACGTCGGGTTCAGTCATTGTGATGGCACCGAATTAACCAAACTTGGACAAGAGTAGTGCCGCTGAATATCATAACTGCACTCCATACGGAATTTAAAACTAGTTCGGGAGAAAAGTTAAAAAAAAAAACGCAAAATTAAACAAAAGGATTACCAGTCTGACGATTGTCATCCTGCCAACGTATGATATACAAATGAAAAAGTTTTGATAGCAGACATTTCTTTTTTTTTTCATATTCTTTCACAATAAGTAACCTCTTGTCGATCTCTGGCTTTATTTTCTTGCACTAGATGAGGTGATAAAAAAAAATTATTTATTTATTCCACTAATATGTCTATTACTAATGATATTGTGAAAAATCTTGAAGTTATTTCTTCCATTTCCAAATTATAGGATAATGAAGCATGTAATAATAAGTGAAGAAGTGATAGAGTGAGGGAGAATTTGAGTAAATAATTCTTTCATGACTACTTGACTCATCTATACTTTTAGAATCAACCTAGTTTGACTTGAGAATTCGATGGGATAACTAGACATGTGTAGGGAAACCTTTCTCAATGAATCTGTCTATATTTCTGAGATGAAGTATTATGTACATTATTTACATTATTCGGATGTCCTCAAGGACACATGGCACAGTGGATAAAGGTGTTGGCTAGACCCAGTGACAGGACCCAAAGAGTGTGAGTTCAATACCCGGTTAAGACAGTGGAGAACTTTCAGAGAGAAATTAACAGGAGATAACTGACATCCATCATAGTCTATACTATAACACAACTGTTACCGCCTACCCAATAACAATTATGATAATACAAAGACATTAATTACCACACAAAGGCACCTAGTGTCCAGCATATATATATATATATATATATATATATATATATATATATATATATATATATATATATATATATGGTCGAGCCACAATACCAAACACATGGTCTGAGGATTGCGTTCAGGCATAAAACAGATTGCCACCGTTTTTGTTGACCTCAGTTTCCATATATATATATATATATATATATATATATATATAGTGAACATTTAAAATGTATGATGGCCAGGTACCTCCATTTCTAGAAACCGACAGCCAGACAACCTGCACATATTGAGGACACAGTGGAAAAGGGCGTTAGTTAGATCTGTCCTCAAGGACACATGGCACAGGGGATAAAGGTGTTAGTTAGATCCAGCGACAGGTTCCAAAGTGTGTGAGTTCAAAACCTGGTTAAAGTGGTGGAGAATTTGGAGAGGGGAATTAACAGGAGATAACTGATAATTGGATATCAATTAGACATGGCACGTGGAACTAGTCTACCCCAGTGAGCGAAATAAAGGGTTAAGTTCGACATTCCAACCACCTGAAGGAGGCCTGAGCGTACAACGGCCGAATCGTTGTAATAAATATGGCGACAAAGATGAGGACAATAGTCCGAATAATGTAAATAATTTACTTTCTCAATGTATAGTCAATTTATTAAAATTGACTATACATTGAGAAAGTAGATTATTTACATTATCTTCGCAGCCTCGGGAGTCTGTAAGTAAAGCGAGCCTCTTACAGACACCTGCGTCTTCCTCTGCCCTCTACAGCAACTATGGTTTGCGTACCTCTGTTACAGTTTGTTTTGTTTTTTTTTGTATTTTTGTTTTTGGAGCGGGGTATATTCTGGCAGGATAAGTAACTGAACAATACAACAGATATTTGTTATTTGCTTCTAGCACAACTATGGATTGATTTGTTTTTACGGCTTATCAACCCTTTGCAGGTAATTTGAAGCCAAAAAATATTTTCAGATTGTTATAAATTTTTTGAGATAAAATGGTTTAGTTATACAAATCTTAATAATTAACTCATAGCTGGTAGATGAAATTATGGATTCATACCATCCCTATGGATATTTGCGCGTTAGTGAATATTACGAACCTAACAAGAATTGGAACCTGGCTCACCGGTTAACAATTTGGAGCCATTATTCATCACACCACCCGCACATCCAAGTTTACAGCACCTGTTATTCCCAAGCGGTCACTCATCTAAGTACTGACCAGAATTAGCGTTGCTTAACTACGGTGATCGCACGTGATATGGCCGTAAGTTTTTTTATCGACTGGCAATTTCCATATTTTCTTTGGAAAGATTATGGAGTAGTTTTATTTTGCTTTCTCCACAGGTGCGGACTGGTGCTCCAACGTAATGTGGCCCCACGCAAACTATCGAACTGTTTCGTCCACCCAATTTAAATCACTTCTAAGTTTCAAGGTCATTTCAAAGGTGCCATATACTGAGATCATTTTCCCAAGAGAATAATATCAAGACGTGACAAGTTGACCATGGTAAGATTCAACTCCGTACCTTGTGGTTGGAACGATAACGTTCTACCCACTCGAACATATTCTTCTAGTACTGATCTAACCTCTCGACTTTATTCTATTATTATTTCTCTAACCATTCTACCATATTCTATTAGTATTTATCTAACGTCTCGACAATATTCTACAAGTGTTTATCTAACCTCTAAACAATATTCTATTAGTATTTATCTAACCATTCCACCAGATTCTATTAGTATTTATCTAACCACAAGACTATATTCTACTATTATTTATCGAAGCATTTGACTATATTCTATTACTATTTATCTAACCACTCAATAATATTCTATTAGTATTTATCAAACAACTCGACCTTCTCTTATTAGTATTTATCTCGCCACTCGACCATATTCTACTAGTATTTATATAACGTTTCGTTCATATTCAACTAGTATTTATCTAACCAGTCGACAATATTTTACTACTATTTATCTAACGCCTTGACCATACTCTATTATTAGTTATCTAAGCACTTGACTATATTCTACTAGTATTTATCTAACCATTCGACAATAGTCTAATAGTCTTTATCTAACCACTCAACCATACTCTATTAGTATTTATCTAACCACTTGACTATATTCTATTAGTATTTATTTCGTTTGAAAATAAAAATCCGTATATATCGATTGTTTACTTTTGTTCGGAATTTGATTAAAAGATTGATAAAATGCGCTTACAGAAAAAATCTAAAGCGAAAAAAACGAATAAGAGGAAAAAAAAACTAAGAAAGAATGATGGCTAAGAAAAAAAAACAAACAAACGGATATGTGTGCGCGAAGAGAAGAGTTGTGTAAAAAGAAATGGTAAAATCTGACCTGTGAGCTTTTGCCGAATTCAATCTAACACAGCTCTGACGTGCTGCCATCTTCCGCTTTGTTCCGAATTATACAAATACAGATCAAAGCTTTTTATTTTTTCAAAATCATAACATTGATAAATTTTATTATTATACATTTTATGAGAATCTATTTACAATCAATTGCATTTTATAGGTGAAAGGAAAAAATATAGATATATTTAGAGAGAAGGATGTTTTATTTGCATTTTATCGCGTTATCCTACCTTTATCTTTTTCCTTCACTCTCTCATACGCCCTCTCTCACTCCATTTCTCTCTTTTCTCTCTCTCTCACTCGCTCTCCCCCCATCTCTTTCGAACTCTCAATCTATCATCCGAAAGGTTTTGTTAATGACTTGAATAGAATTCAGAGGTCATACCTAAAACAGGCTGATTTCCATTACTTCCAAGTTTGACCAAATATTTATACACGAACAAGTATACAATTTCCGCCATTTTCTTGCACATCGCATTGGTTAGGGTGATATTTAATTGGCATCGATTGCCACCAAAAGGAATAACAATACCTTGCTTTTCCCATTTGCTAATTGATTATGTTCCATACAAACAACAACACTGCCAAAAAAAGAGAAAAAATAACAATTATCAGTTATAAAAAAAATATGAAAACATTTTGTTGCGTTCTCTTTTGTTTTTGTAATCTGATAGCATGCGCAAAGGTTTCTCTTTGTGAGTATTAATTAAATCAATGCTCGCTTTCTGCTGATGATGATAATTATGAGTATATGATTTCTATGGCGTATATTGCCATGCAATAATGTGTTATATGATTGATAATTTCAAAGACAGGTTTGAAATTCACAAAATGTATATTAGTGATAGTCATTATTAATTGTTGAATAGATAAATCAATACTGTTTTCACTAGTTAAATAATGCCACAGCCTACCACTTCTCTCCGGCTGTTGAATAACGTGTACAAATCGTTGAGAGATGTGATGAATGCGTGATATGGGTGAGTCAAGTCGAAGTTGTTTTAACAAAATGGTATACAATAGTTATCGTTCGCGTAAATAGTTTATTTATTTATTTTTTTTTTTGAAGGATTAATATAATCTGAATGATGAAGACCGGAGAGCACAGTGGCTGAAACGTTGTGATAACAACAACAATGACGAGGACAATAGTTCGAATATAAATAGTGTAAAATATAAATATAATATAAATAGTGTGGATAATGATAACTCCTCATCCCAGAAATTAAGACAGACGATGCAAGTTGAAGCAGCTTAAATTTCTTATAAAAATAACGAGAATTGAAAGCAATATCAAAGTCGCTCTCGCATCGAGGAAAAATCTTCGGCTGTTGTGCTTGTTCTATACTTCGCCGTTGCAGCAAAAGTTGAAAATTTGTACCAAATTATTCTTTGAAAAATTTTTAAAGAAGTATTTTCTCCTTTCTTCATTTTATGTAGTTTTCTTTTCTGGGGACCTTATGCAGCATTCTAAGTTTTATTGTAAAAAGGCAGAGTTCATATTCATTGATAATTTACATACATGTTATTGGCCATTATTTGGCACACGATTCACTTAATTTGTGCAATTCATTCCTTTTTTGTTTGTGTGTGTATGTGTTAACAATAAATTTATCGTTTGTTTTAAACTCGGCTCGTGACGTCTGTCTTTTTTTGTGCCCATATTAATTAAATGTTAACTCAAACCTTTGAACCAAATTTTTCGTGGGTTTTTTTATCAAAATAAAAAAAAATCCTATATATAGTTTTACTCTTGAACGAAATTTATAAGATCTTTTTCAAGACATTAAAATTCACAAGTTCACTAAATGTTATAACATTTTCCAATAAGGATAAGAGTTTACTTTCATTTTGTTTTAGTATTGTGAAAACTTAGCAACTCCATTGTCTCTTCTAGCTACGGGTGTTATCTAATATTGCTGTGGTTACTGTTGAAATACAAATACATCCAATCTAAGCTGTATTAAGTTATTACAACTTTCTCAAAATTTATGAGATATTGAAAACAACTAAAGGACACATACTTATCAGTATTTTTGTTTTTTGCTTACTGTCAAGTGGATCATGGCTCTCCACAGATTCCGTTTCTCTAGTATCTGCGAAATGGAATTCAATCTTAAGGAAGAAAGCTGATTGATAGCCCGTTGCCTTCTCCACAGTTTGGTATTCAGTGATTTCTTTCCCTTTGGCCAATGGTTGCCGGAGTCCATGTAACATTGCTAGGGGTTCGCACACACACAGACAAAAAGCAAGTCTCGGTAATATTTTAGGGGTCTGTAAAGCAATTTCACTTCGGAATGGTTCTTACAACTGAGAATTAGAATTCTACGGTAATCTACGCCATAGTGAAATACTTAAAATAGAAAAACAACTTTAAAACTAGCAGAAAACAAAATCAAGCGATGTAAGTTGGTGCCGCTTCTATGCTACCGGATGTTTTGACTGCAAAAAGTTGAATAAAAACAGAAAAGGATATATAACAGAAAAGAGTATATATATATATATATATATATATATATATATATATATATATATATATATATATATATATATATATATATATATATATATATATATATATATATATATATATATATATATATATTATATATATATATATATATATATATATATATATATATATATATATATATGTATATAAAGGAAAATTATATAAAGTTTATAATTTATTATATGATTTAATTTAATATATTAATAATAAATAATGATATTAATTATAAATATTAATACAATATGATATTAATTTATTAATATACATTGATTAACGTAAAATATTAAAAAATAAAATATTTAATATAAAATTATTTTGATCTAATTGTATAAAAGCTATATATAAAAACAATATTAGCAATATTAACCTCTTCAGCAGCATAGACAATTTCCGTCAAAACCATCCACTCTGAAGGCCTATATATGAACTAATGTACTTAAATATCTGGTTAATTTGTTTACTTCAAAATAAACCATACATACATACATATACATATATATATATATATATATATATATATATATATATATATATATATATATATATATATATTTGAATAAGAAACAGACCGTTAAGATTCCATGTAATAAGCTATTTCACCATAACCCCTTTAACATGGTTCTGGATAATCAGACTTTACTTCCAAAAGCTGAAATGAGGACGTGAGTTGAGCTCTCTGTTGGATCATCCTCCTCAGGTCTACCCATATGTATTACCCTAAACTATATATATATATATATATATATATATATATATATATATATATATATATATATATATATACACACACACACATATATATATATATATTTATATATATATATATATATATATATATTATAAACTAATTGATTTAAAATATGTTTTTTTCGCTACACAGTTCTAACCACGTTTCAAAAATGGAAGCTAAAAGCCCCGAATTTAATTTTGTAATTAAATTAAAGACATTAGTTCCATTTCATCCTCAAGAGAATTTTGGAGTAACTTTTAAAATTATTGTGTTTTAAAGCCACAGCAAAAATCATAATTCATGTTTCAAAGGTTACAGATAAATCCACTTCCACTAGAGACAAGGGGGTGTCTGGGTGTTCATTATTGATGTATTTTGATGTATCAGTTATTAGTTACGTTTTGGTAGGGGTAGGGATGTATTTTTCAATGAAATCTAACATCCCTTAAAAGCATGTCGTCTGGATTTTTTTAATTTTATTGTTAACGGCAAAAATTCTTACGGCATTTTTCCCTATTGCAGACGCTTGCTCAGACGCTTGTGTTTATTCAACACCCACAGAGCCCACCTGTGGCTTATACTGCAACTATGCTGAGCAGACCTTAGTTACAGTTTCTGGGAAAGAGCGTGTTATCTAGC